TATGCTACAACAACTCTGTCGCATCTTCAGTGTCAGTACTATCATTAGGAAAATCACTATTACAAACGTGAACTTGCTAGCATATTGTTGGTCTTATTTTTTTGTTAGCTTATAGAAATTTATTACACCAAAATATTTGTTTCGCATCTATTCAGATAATTCTGAACTAATATTTTAACATTTAAGTATATTGGCAGGTCTACCGGAATAATCTCTGTCCTTAAATACAAATATATTGCAACATATAACGGAATTTGATAACAATTTTCCTTCCAATCGTAAATTTTAGGACAACTTTTTAATCATATAATACAAAATTCTTTAAATATACTAAGACAATATGATAAGAAATCAAAGTTTATTGTAAAGAATTCACATTTTCAAGAAAAAAATAATATTAAAGAAATCATTTTTCCCTTAAAATTGACAGAATAGAAATACACGGTTTTGAAATTTTAACGCGCATGAATAAATCAATTCACATCAAAAGGTCAAAACAAGTATAAAGACAGCTTAGACCGATATCATTTCGATTCCAGGGAAATAAAAATACTTATACATTTATCAAGCGGAGATTATTTCTGCTGCCGATTTTCATATTGACCTGTCCTAATTACCACCTACTGTGGCAAATGTATAAAATGTTATTTAACATAAGAAAAAAATAAGGAAAAAAAGGGTTTCACGTTATTTTTCATGAATTACTTTTATTTATTCCTTATCAATGAAAACTCACTTGTCAGAATAGTTTCTATTGTGTTTACATCGGTGCTCGATAATCCCACATATGTCAGTTAAACCTGACGACATTCTGGCGCCTGCATATCATCTCGCTGCCTATTAATTCCCGAAAATGCTTCTAATTATAAATGACATTAAATGACATGGATAAAACTTGTAGCATTAGTGTATGTGAGATTTCATTTTAGTATAATAAAATATGGTAGCATATTTCTAACAACAAAGTACCATATAATAATCGAGTAGTTATGAAAAATTTAAATCATATTTAAAAAATAAATGCGTGGATGTTATATCACACAATGTGATCAAATTGACTAAAAATTAGATCTACAAAAGATATTTCTTGCATGCATCTTTAATTGCCACCGAATTTGTTGTCCATTCATTGTGATTTGGATTTAATGAACTAGACTTAATAAACAGAATTGTTAATTGGTAGGATTGTGTTTGCCAGTTTATCTGCCGGCTACATATATCGGGCACTCTATCAATCCAAAGGAAATCATGCAAATATTATAGATTTGTTCTCCAATTTTCCAAATTAGATCTTCCAAGAAGTAATAAATTTAGAGAAACGAGGTCGGATATTGTACTGAAATAGAATATTACACATCAAAAGAATGTAATATGGAATATGTTTTAATGTAGCAAAGAGAAAAACAAACATTTAGTAAGATCGCTAGTTTTGACAAAAAATGTAAATTCTAACATCCTTAATCGAAACAAGCACCTCTTTTTGCTTTTCGTGTCGACGAAGTAGTTATTTTTAGTCAGGCTTCATTTGTCAAATTACAACAGGTGAATTGTTTTCATCACGTACCAGGTCATTGGGGGATAGCGTAGGACCAGAAAGATGCCTTGTATAAGACCTAAAAGACGCCTGTAATGTGCATTTTTTTATACTGTTTTGTTTAAAGGTCATTTTTATCCATTCCTTTTGTCTAGAAACAGTTACGCAAAAACAATTTTGCTGAACTGCAATGTACAAAATATGCAGGTTTTTTTTTCAAACACAAAACGGTTTACCTGAAATTTGAATATCTTCCAAAACGCAGCACTTACAAAGTAAGTTGGAAAAACTCTATAGATATAAAACTTAATATTCTTAAAGATCATGTATGTTGTAATTGAAGCTGTTACGGCACTTGAGTGTCATTTTATATATGAATAAAAGTATGCTTATAAAACAATTTTCAAGCATCGAAGAATATGTAAAATATGCACTGCAAATATTTGTCCATATTGTATGTAATCATTACAATATATTCATTCGTTTGTTATTGAAAGATTTGACATAGATTTTAAAGAAAAATGAATTTCATAATACCTCCTTTTATGTACATGAAATGATAAATTCGGTAATAATATCTTTATAAATAATGCATTTTGGAACTAACAATATTGATAAATCTTAATTTTAGCACCATGTTTGTGATATTTAACCATAAAAAATTCTGTAACAGACAGGATCTTTAAGACATTTACTGTGAAGAAAACATAATAAACATAATTATATATATTTTCTTTTTGTTTCTATAGTTGTTGTGATTTGACATTTGTTAAAATAGATGCACCAATTATTTAAATATGTATGATCTTTAATTATACAACAGGGGCTTATTACGCGGGTAATTGCATGCATGTTGAAAGTATTAGTTTTCATAATTGATACAATATTTTTGTAAACTATGTACAACAATATATACTCAAACAAAATTGAAAACACTTTTCTTTAATACAGTTATGATATCTTCGACATTCGGTTCAAGATAGTGATGTTCCGATTGTTGCAAGTCGCCGATAATCAGTCACTGTTATGTAAAGCGATAATAATCGGTTCACAAGAATTGGGTCCGCGGCGTCGTCGAAAGTGTTTAAAGTAAAGAATGGAATAAGATCTGAATGTAATTGTCTTTGCCGATCGCAAATAAAATCATGTCTGAGACCATTTGGAGTTAAACAGGATCAAATTTCATCCAATTTCTATCACAAGTTAAGGTACGTGTGTGTATCATAATTTTATGCAACTTTAGCTTAAAAGCAATATAAAACAATATAATTGCATAATGAGAACAGACAAGTAGAATATTGTGAGGACTGTGTTTTGTGAAAGTTGCTCTCCCGTGTTGTACATTTAACATTTGCAGTACTTCTAATTGATTGACAGTAGAATTTTCTATCTTTATAGAGTTTTGTTTGCTCCATAAAAATATTGATTTTGAGAATAGTGTATATGTTTAGATTGATTGTTTAACTTTACTAAAAATGCACTTTCATGACGTTACTGTTTACATTCCTTCTAACTGTAAATACATTTTTGAAATTGTTTAGATAGCTTAAATCCAACTTTCTTATTTAGCTTTTTGTAGTATTTGTTTTGATTTTCATTTTTTATCTACCTTTACAAAGTAGTGTAGATTATGTCATTATCTATTTATACCTTTACAAATCAAGATCTGGTATCAATATACATCACATCGATTCTTTGCTTTACATGTCTAGGTCATATTGCACGGGATACATGGTTATTCTGAATCAAAGGAGTGAGCGACTGATCTGAACGTTTTGCAGAGTTACGCTAATGTTTTGGACCCACAACGATGGTATTCAAATATCGATATTTCCAGTCCTGATATGTCTTAAAACCTTCAGTGAACTCCGTTTAAGCAAAACATGTCTTGCAGGACTATATATGACAAAACATAGATATATATTTAAGATAAATGAATCAAAATGTGTCTTTTTAAAACTTCAGAGAATTCGAATATTATTATTCACGTTATAACATGTTCAGCATCCGTTTATTATGCAATTTTTTTTTTCTTTTGTATATAACTTTTATATTGAACATTATCTTTGAATGTTCGTAAAAGAATATGACATCAGGAGTTATTTATTATTGGAAAGGTGTTAGTGCCATTCAGTTCAAAGAAAATCGTTTGCGCTTATCCTTATTATGTTAAAATATTGTCAACTTGCTATAGAACTATCTAGTTATATATTCTTTAATTTCATTATATTAAAGGCACATGCACTATGAAATAAAAAATAACTAGGGCAATTATATAATGCTGCCTTGCATACCCGATAAATATTATTGATCTTGGAATTTCAGATAGAATAAACTATGCGTTCAAAATGTCTGTGGTGTGCAATTTTTGCTTGCATCATAAAGTTTCATATAATAATATCATATTGATTATCAGATAAAATCCTCGCCTCACCTTGAACTAACTGAATAAATTATTTCAAACGATTTGTTAATTATATGAATAAATACAATTTTGCATTTTGTTTGACTTTATAAAAGAAATAAGTAGATATGTGGATATTTGATAGGCAGCACAAATAGCAGACGGTTTAGACGAATGACCAAAACAAAGTCATGATCATGCATTATTTTATGTACTAAATGTTCGTCTGTATCATGCGAAAAATGTTTATTGCGATATTAGAAAATATCACCAAATAGTGTCATCAACACAATATTTTAGTATTTAAAGGTTTATAAGTCTTAGTATTGTTACTGTAGATAGGGTCTGGCCTTGATTGGCACCAACAGTCCGTTTATGGGCTACCTTTTTAATATTGTCTCTGGTTACTGTACATTTATGTTTTAATTGATATGAGTACAGAACCTGAGATACTTATGCTTAACCTTACAATATTTCAGTCCTACGATAGTGCTACACCCAAAGAATTATCAGCCCGAAAGAGTGGCTTGGTAGTGTGATGGTATAGGATTCGAACAATAAACATTATTCTTTCTTTAAACAGAAGGATTTGAACAAACAAAACAAATATAAAGTAAACAGTACACAGTATACAAATTTATATTACAAGGGAAATCATAACCCATATACATGTTGATGGAAATCGATGCTTTAAACATGCCTTAACGCTTATACCATTCACTATCGATAATTCAATTGAGTCTAGAGTTGAACGATTATAGTATGAGCATCACGGAAATCAGAATAATTCGCAATATCCGAAACAAAATAAAGGTTGTCTTTCCTACTTTTGAAATTATCGAAATAAAGTTTGACAAAATATTTTTTTGTTATTTTTAGAATATAAACAAGTGCACAAAAATTTATAAACTTTCCTGTAGCATAGGCTTAATTCAGAATTCAATTTATTATTCAAAGCTTATATGATCTTATATGATCAGAAAATAAATTGACATTGAAGGTAAGGAATTTTCTGAGGTTAAGGGAAATCAAAACCAATTCGAATTAGTGAACTTTGTTTTATTCTTTGATAACTGTGTACACAACTAACCTGTCATAATAAATATTCAAATATTAAAAACATATTAATTTGTTGTCAGGATATAATTTCCATATCAAAGATATTCGCAAATGAATTTCTTTGTTACATAACAGAAATTATCATCCCATTTGTTTCCATAGTAACCAATCCATACACAATTCCTACCCTGTGGCTCATTCGGCGCCCAAGCCTGTAACGAAAATAATCTTTAAATTATCGTTTTTGCCATAGATATTTTCTGCGTGCGTGTCTCATTCGTGCCGTGGCTTTGGCAATTTTACAAAATAACACTAAGCCTGAACAATTGGAAAAGGTATGGAAAACGTATAATATTATGTGCACATAGGCATCAACATTCAAAGTACATTTTTATTAGAATAAGCATCCCAGATGCTAAAAAAGTATGTTTATATTAGTGACATCATGGCTGAGTGATTAACGCGTCGAATACTTAGGATTGTGACTGTGTAAATTGAAAACCCCGTCAGGGACAAGCAATGTTTTCCTTGAACAAGAAACGTTTTACTCATTGCTAAATATTGTTTTGTTATTTGAGAATGTTTTTCTATAGCTTAACTCCCAACGTAGCTGAATTAAAAAGAATCTTTGTAATTTAAATATATCTGTTTTCAAACAAGTCTTTTGTATGCGGAGGAATATATATACATCATATTTCCAGTTTGAAAACACATTTAATATTCATCATTCCGCTTATGAATCCATCATGTTCTGAAGATTTGATGCAAACGTAAAACAGATAAAAATGATAACTGTAAATATGTTTTAAGTATTTTATTTAGAGTCAGAGAGATACGCACCGTGAAACCAAGATCAACACTAGTCCCGTCACTCCATTTGCAGTTCTCACCCTGAGTGCAAGTCATTCCAATCCAGTGGCTAAATCCTGAAAACAAGCAGTGAAAGAAACCACCCTTAAACTGACTGCTTATAATAATGAGGCATGGCTTTAGGTGAGCACAACGCATATTTAACATCCTATAATATGTTTACAATCCATAAAGTTAACGTTAAATATATTCATATGCCAAATGTGGCCGAATAACTATTTCGTTACTTACAAAAAAATAAATTAATGGTTTGCAAATTATGACCAAGAAACGGTTATTTCTGTAACCGAACAGTATGATTACTGAAACAGCGGCCAAATAAAGATTATCATTAGACTTAATGTCAAAGGTCACATTCTATGCAGAAAATTGCCCCTGGATTACTGATCCAATTATGTTTCTTTTTAGCTTAGCATGTTGTTTGTAAACAAAATAAAACAATAGCTAGATTTATCAATTTAACTTAAACAAAAGCATGTTTAGATTTAATCCAGTCCGCATCTTAAGCATGTTATATCAACAAGTTATATTTATAGCATTCTAAGTGTCCTTTGTTCTTCAAATGTAAGTCCCCATTGTTGCTGAGTGGTTGCCTTTAATAGTTGAGGCACCAGAACTGGATCCTCAGTTTAACCCTGCATGATCGTGATAGGTCAGACAATGGGTCCAAATTACTGAAGATTCTCCAAGATGTGAGGTATGAATCGCCAAAATCATCTATCATGCACCGGCATCATATGACCTAAATTATTTTGGTGCTTCGTCAAACCAAAACAAACACACAGTCAAGTGCAATTATACATTTCTTATCAAAACTGTGCTAGAACTGTGCTGCCTTATTGACGGAATCTGACATACCGAATGTCGGGCAAATGAAGATTATGATAATTCAAAAGTAAGACCAACCTTCTACTAGGGTTCCAAGAAAATCTATTTCCTCTTGACTCTCCAGAATTACAAGTCTTGCAGACATACCATCACATATCGCCTGCAAAATATGTTAAATGTTGAACAAAAATACATGGGATTTGTTTTGAAATATTTACCATATTTACTTACACGTGTATTACACATAGCGATTGATAAAATAGTAAAGCTTTAGTAATTTTAAAATAAGTATGTTGAAATTGGAACCAATATTGGCAGTTTTTATATGTATTTTTAGAATGAGGTGACATATCAACCGATTCAATCAAAAGCAATATTTTAAAATAAGAGCTTAACAAAAAAGTTTTCATACATTTAGAGAAATTTGACTGATGATCGTATTAAACGGTCTTTAATTAATAAATGACCAGTTCAATCCTATGTAATATAGTAACTTTCCGTTATTTAAAGATCATTTAGTTCACTGTATATCTCATTTCAGTTTATTACATTGTATCAGTTACGACCTTTATTTAATCTTATATTATAAGTGATACAATACATGTTCCGTTGATAGGCAAATATGTTTTTAATGAATATACAGTAAAACAAAACAACGATAAATATGGTATTTATTTACCGCAGCTTGCGAATGTGTAACTACGTCTGATCCAAGAAAGTAGCCAGTTGCTACGAAGAAAAAAAAATATTTTAAAGGTCTAAAATAATCAAACATCTTAAGTAACTGAATCTTAGTTTAAATGGTTCTAAATATGAAAAGCCGAATATATCCATAATATATAAAACAGATGTTAATGACATATACATGCACTTTATAACAATATTTGAAGTTTTGTATATTCTTTTCATATGACGGAGCAAATAATATTTTGTTGTTGTTGTTGAAATCATAGTGGCCATTATAAAACGTAATTATCATGATTATAATGGTTACTTGAACTAGGCTTTCAAGACACTATTACTTCAAGAAAATTGTTGATAAAACAATCTGAATGTTTTGCTTTTCATTGTTATATGGTATAGTTAATGAGTTTGTTAAATCAAATAAAATCTTTCAAAGATCTAACTTCTGTTTAGTCGTGAATCTACAATATTACTGAAATGATAAAAAAAAATTATAACTTTCATTTACACGATAAGAATTTGGTAATGCACAAAATGCTTGAAATGACAATGATGATAGGATATGAATAGGATCAAGACAATACTGGTCATATACAGAAGAGATATATAAGGTGTTCAAGATCATCAACAGAGAAACAAGGACAACAAGAATAAAGGTATTTCATCGAAAGGTATCAAATAATCATATACGGTTCTTTCCCGTATTGCTTTCCTCGTCCTGATTGTGAGCGGGTGTATAAAGGTGTATTGTACCACAATTTTTTTTTTATAAGCATAAACGTATCGTGAACCTCATGATGCCGTAAGTGTACGATTATTAAAACAACTAAACAAAACAAACAAGCCCGCCAATGCAAAATGATTTAATTCATTTTCTTAAATTATTATGTTCACTTGATCATTTTTGCATGTTTGATGCCAGAGGTGCTCTGATTCTTTTAAGATATTATCTTGTGTCAATGTTTTAGTTTTAAATAATTTTTCCTCAGAGAAAAAACAAAGTTGAAAATATGAAAATAAGTAAAGGTTTACTCAATGGTCCCTCTGATTGCTTCATTGTCTAATATTTGTAATTACATCGAAATATACTAGCTGACTAAGTCGCTTCCAATATTGATTTCAATATATTTAGATAAACGGTGTTTGTTATAATCATGTTTATCTCCAAGTCATTTTAAATGGAAAAGATATAAATCGAAAATGAAGAATGCAATCCATGCATCGCAAAATGTAAAGCGTATAGCCAGACAAAACCACAGAACATAAAACGAACATAAACGAGAAGGGCACCAGGGAAGAATCCATACATTGTACTATTAAAATGGAGAGTATTAAAGGAAAGGGAATATTAGCAGGAACATTTCTGATTTAGAGAGGTGGGTACAATACACAAGGTGGGGAAATACATGTAGTAACAAAACACAACGAATACTATGAAATGATGAATTTTGATTGTCGCATATTACATATTAACCGATATAATGGATATACTAAAACAATATATGTTTGTTATTTGAATAATAATTTCCCTTTAGGTTCTTTATGTTCTTCAAATCCTATTTTTGGGAATATAAACGCAAAAAAATATTACATTACCCAGAAAGCAATAAGCTCTCTCATTACAAGCTTCGTTTTCAATTGCAACATCCTGGCATGTTTGTCCTCCATTGCTAGGCGACGGGTTAGAACATGTTCTTGTCCTTGACCTTGTTCCATCTTTGCAAGTCACAGAGCATGAACTCCAGCTTAACCATGAACTCCAGCCACCATTCACTAAACATGTACAAAATGTTTTTTTATTACTATATCATCTCACTTATGTTGAAATGTTACAACAGCCTGACATTGACATATGAGTAAATGTCGGCTTTAAAAGAATAAATAATGCGGACTTGCTTTTGAGAACCTCATATAGGTGATACTGCGTAAAAGATGTTTAGTCAACAAGAACTAAAATGATTGGATTTGATCGATTTTAACGTTGTTTTAAATTTAAATTTGATAAGTTATCATTTAATCATTGATTTAGCTGCCATAATCAGCGGCTTGTGACGATGTCATTTTCTTTATGACAAGATCATGTCAATTCATAGCTTTTATAACTTTTAATACTTCAAGAATGTTTTGTAATGGTCTTTTTAATAACAATTGGCAAGAACAAAATAAAGTAAGCCAAACAATTGCCAAAAGCAAGCGAAACAAAATGATTATTTCAGTACAGAATACAAATGACATGTGTATGTATGTGTATATGTATATAAGATACCTATAAGTAAGTGTTTCAAAGATCAATTTTGATATGAAAGAGTTCATTATCTTACTACTCGAGAAAGAATTCGGCTGGTATTTACTTTATCAATAAAATTGATCTTCCCTAAAAATTTTATGATACAAAATGTAGTTGATATTATGTTTATATGTTTATGTCATACACTGTTCGTTATTGTGCATGTTTTATGTCCGCATAGGCTTTAAAGCCTATTGGAATAACATAAAATGTCTACTGTCAAATTACATATGAATAGGTGAAGACAACGATAAAAGTGTATTCCATAAATGCAAAGGAACCACCTACTAGTATTTTAACTGGTAAATTGCAAAACTGCAGTGTATATGGTTGCTTTGAAATGTTCAAATTTTGATAGTATATCCACGTGCTCTTAGACAGCCGGATACTGCTTGCAATTTGGTGGTCAATATTTGACAACAACTTGACTTGCGTGATGTAAAAACAATACTACTAACCACTGACAAGTGATAAACTTATAAAAATAATAAATAAATAATAAAAAGAACATTTTTTTATTATTATTATTATTAAATTGTATAGTAAAAGTAAGGATGAAGATGATTGTGATATTTACCAATTCGTGAGTACACGTTCCATCCCGGCGAAGCTATTGTAAAACCCTCGTGATGATTGTTACTCAATTCGCAAATATTTGTATCTTTGTTGTAATTAAAAGACACACTGCTCGTACTTCTTTCAAAAATAAGCGAACATTCCAACAACGAAAGAGCACCATGCGATTCCGACACATTCGTTATCCGTCCGTCTGTCTGAAATAATTCAATTTTTTCACATAGGCACAATCTAAGTATTAATGAAATAACAGGAAATGAAGTCAACTTTTTAATTTCAAAACCCATTTTTGAATTTGCTGAGTTTACCAAAAATGAAAAATATAGAGGGAAGTGTATCCTATTTCATAAAACACTATAGCTTGAATTCAGATAAATCAAGAATGCG